ATTGTTTTTAGAGAACAACAATTGTGGTATTAGGGCATAAGCAGCTGAAGATAACATCCAGGGGAAGAGGAACAGCAGCTTGGGGAAGGAGATAATGAGGGAAAAGTAGGGGATTCTGGGATGGGGCCCGCTCTGTTGCACCGATGCCCCTCTCAGTCAGGGGGTATCAAAGTGACTCGCCCTCTCTCTTTCTCTCTTTTGAAAAAGTACCTGCTCTAATCCACCGAGACGACGGGGGTTGAAGACGTCCTTGCAGAACAGATCTTGAAAAAGCTGGAGGTCAGAGAACACGTACTCGGAGGCAACAAACTCGAGAGCGGCTTCTCTGTCGTCATCTATTTGCGAGAAAATGGTCAGACATATGTGGGTCTTTGCAAAGAATATGATCAAGAACGTGGCACATTCGCATTCGATTCAAAGCAGGAGCTTACCGCGAGCTTATAGTTTCTGGCTCTGTCCGAGGAGGCTTTGAGAAGCGATGTTGGTGGAAAGGCCAGCCCACACACATACAAAACTCCCCCTGGCTCTTGTCCAGCGGGCGAGGGGACTCGTCCAAAACAAACTGGATGCCAACGAGCAAACAAAGGCATAATTGGGGAAGAAAACAGCGCCACCTGTTGGCATCGTAGCCCCGTTTTTATGAGCCGCACCTGAGCCTGGCTGCCAAAGACGAGGGGAGCGAGGTCTTCAAGAGGGCCTGGGGAGTCACCTGGCACATGCAGCGCTGCACTCCGGGCCCGTGTGGGCCGCTTTATTCCCATCTATCTGGATCCACAAAACACACACAAACAGGAAGACAGCGGGGGGCAGATGGAAGGGTCACTGTCTCTGCCAGGTGGCCAGGGGGCCTGAGGATGGAGCCAGATATGATTTTTCTCGTATAACACACACACACACACACACACAGACTTAGAACCAGAAATATACACATAACAATTCAAAGAAATGGGCAGTGATTGTATGAAATTCTTCAGATTTATGGTTATGGGCTTTGTGCATTTAATTTTATAGGACAGATTGGAGAGACAGGGAAATAGAATGGGATCAAAACATAACGCAGGCTGGATTCCAGATATCCTGATTTACAGCCCTGTTTATTCCATACGGTGTGAGGGAAGTATGTTCCATATGGAGTGTGGAATATATGTGTTGACTTTCAGCTGTGTTTGTGACTTTTGCTAGAGCCAGTGTGCAAACAAGTGAACGGATGACTAAATTAATAAATGAAACTGTATGGCAGAGAGAGTCTACATTAGTCTCTGCCATTTTCCTGGAGGCTGATTACCCATACGACTGGTTTTATTCTAAATCATTTAAACACACACTCAAACATATAAAAGAATATGTGTTAAATATCTATCCACTTTTTGTGACACAAGAGGGACACTTAACACAAAGTAACTGTACATAATTACTAATTAGTACATAATTTAACTGTAAGATGTTTAAATCTTTTTATTCAAGGATGCATTAAATTGATTAAAACTGACAGTAAAGACATTTATAATGCTACAAAAGATTTACTTTTCAAATAAAGGCTGTTCATTTTACATTTTTAAATTGTCACTGTTTACATATTTACATACTACAATTATAATAATAAGGAATGTTACTTGAGAGGAAAATCAGCATATTATAATCATTTCTGAAGGATGTGACGCTAAAGACTGAAGTAACAACTGCTGAAATTTCAGCTTTGCCATCACAGGAATAAATTACATTTTAAAATATATTAAAATAGAAAAGTTATTTTCATTTGTAATATTTTATAATACTAATGTTTTACTGTATTTTTGAATAAATGCATCCTTGGTGAGCATAAGAGATGTACTTAATAGCATAAACTTTTGAATAATAGTATACATATCATTCAAATATATATACAATATATATTTATTTATACACAACTCTTTTAAAAGCATTAAATCTGGACCTGAACTGATAATATCTACTTAATATCTACTGTCAAGTTCCACAGTAAAAAATGTTTGGATCAACATAAAAATAGGTAGATGATGGCAGTTTTACTACAGCATTTTATTTGTTACTTAATTGTTAAAAATACAAATATTTTTGGGCTCAAAAATCTGAAGGGACACGTTTAAATGCGCATGACGCTTCTGTCTGTTAGCAGGAACCAACAGGAGCTTAAAAGGGACTGGCTCCAGGGTCTGAAAGTGGAATGACCTGAAGTCTCCCTATCGCTGGATGTTTGTCTTGGTTCTGAGCGTGTGCGCAGGCTGTGCCTGCCGCTGCCATCCTCAGTCCAAAGCCACAGATGCTGCAGTGTTTGCGTGTTGACTCCGTGTAATTTGTTTGCACTAATTTGTTTTGGGGTATCAGGGGATTTCCCTTTTTAATTTGCCTCTCTCTGTTTACCCCTCTTTGTGGAGCACTGATCTGTTAAGCAGCAGTAAGAGCGAGAAAGAGAGAGGAAGAGAGAGAGAGATGGGGTGTAGAAGAGCCTAAATTAAAAGAAGGTACTATGCAGATTGTTTTAAGCTCTGGCTGCCCCGTCGGGCCCAAAGGCCTTGCTCGCAGCCTGCACCTGCTCCATCCCACGGGAACCTGGTTCCTGATCCGTGGCCCCTCTCCCTCTCCTGTCTCTCTTCTCTTCTCTCTCTCTCTTTCTCTCCCCTGCTGTTTCCTCTGCACGTCTCCAGTGCCTGGAAACGCCTTAATCAGCCCTCCTCTGCGCATGGATGGCTGCCACTCATTAGCCTGATTGAAAAGATGGTAGCTCATGCTAAACACACACGCATACACATATGCACACACAGGTTGAAAAACATTCACACTGACTTTTTGAATATTAAAACCTATATTTAAACATATTGTGCGAGCGAGAGCATTGTTGTTCTGAATATCAGCACGAAAGAACATGAACATAAGTTTAATATCGAGTAACTTACTAAAAGTTCAACAAACAAGCCTGAGTAACTTACATTTTATCGCAGGTATTTTTGCCTCACCAACGAAAATAGTGTTGTTCCAAATTAAGTCAAAGTAACACTCAGTAGTAGTTTTGTTTGTGAAAAAGCAAGGTTTCATATAAAATCAGTACAGTGAATGAATCAATGACTCACAAAAAAAAACAAGCCATCTGTTTCATTCCTGAATGAATCAGTGTTTTGAACAAATCAAAAGAGTGAATGCTTCAGTGTCTCACTCATAAAAACAGTGGTTGCATCTGAAATGGCATACTTCCGTACTGTATAGCAGACGAAAAACAGTATGTGAAAAAAGTAGTATGTCTGTATTCAAAGTATTCATAAAACCATAGGCAAAAAAAGTACCTGGATGACTTACTACTTCCGGCGAGATTCTTATAAGTGCCACTTCACTATCCCATGAGACCACTGATACTGGTAGGTCACATGACATTGACAAGGTGAATGTAGTATGTCTGGGTTATATTTGTACTATATAGACACACACATACTAGAAGTTTTTTAATGGCTGCAAACTAGTAATAACTTACTTAAAAAAAACCTACTCGGAGTGCATGTGATTTCGGACGTAGTCACTCCTGAATGCATCAGTGTTTTGAACTAATCAGCACAGTGAATGATTCTGAATGTCTCGCGCATTAAAAACAGTCACTTCTTTAGTTTCTAAATTAATTCGTGTTGTGAACGAACTGGTACAGTGAATCATTCAATGACTCACTCATAAAAACAGCTGTTTGTTTCATTCTTGAATAGATCAGTATTTAAACTAATCGTCTGAGGTAAACTAAACTAATGCACAGAATGACAGTCTTTCTGGAACCCACAAACACAGACAAACAGTGTGACACTCTATTAGTCAAATTTGAGGACCAAAACTGTTTCATAATACTTAATAAAAGCAGGAGGCAAACAAAAGCGTTAGACTAAATTCACAACAAACAAGAACATGAAAAAACAGATACGCCTCATGCATACGTTTAAATTGTCACAGCTATTTTAATTGATGTTTTAGAGCAATCATTGTCAAACAACCACTCAGTTCAGGATAACTAAGCACTCACGAGAGGGTCTCCGTTATGCACAATATTTTATAGCTGATCCAGTGTAGCTAGAATCTTGTATATATATTTATATCCATCATTTTGTTTCCACAAACAGGAAATTAACTCTCTAATATGGCTTCAAGATCTAATATCAGATCTATAGCAAAACTGACATCTTATGAGAACATAATCCAGCTATGTTCCCAACACACAGACACATTTCTAAAAGTCTATTAATAAACATACATCATAGGGTAAATTTTAAATGCATGTTTTTGAATGTGAATTTCGCTTCAGCTGTTATTTATAATGAATTGAAAAGACCATTTTTAGCTGAGCATCTCCTTAAGTCACTGAAAAATATTTTTATTACTTTATATCCCAAAAATAAGTTGCAAATTAATTATTATTAACACAAAATTCATAAGAGACTGGGTTTATGTGTATTTAAAGGTGGGGTAAGCGATTTTTCAAAAACGCTTTAGAAAAATGATTCGGGCCAAGTAGCCCACCTTTTTCTTGCTGTAAAAATGGGCGCAGCCATTTGTAAATTCTATGGGTCTAGCTTCCGGTCTCATCCGCGTCCAGCTATCTTTAGCTGTACAAAACAGTTCATTTTGCTGCTTGATATCGACAATTGGTGTGTCTTATCATATTATTTTAATGTATTATCTTAATTATGAACACACTGGTTTGTAGTGCAAACAGTATTACCGTTTACTGCACGTTGTTATTCTCCTCGTTATTTACCTATAGCGGCTAATGAACCGGAAGTCTCACCCATAGGCTTACTTCCGCGTTGAAGAAAAAGGTGAATAGTATTTTGTCGCGCCGCGCCACTCGCGTTCGGTGTAGACACGGTGTAACATTGATTTTGCTTTGTTTCACAGAACTAATCGTTGCCTGGGTTGCATACGTATGTGTGGGGCAGAGCTATCAAAATAGGGGCGAGACCCTTTTGGGGTAGGGGCGTGTTTGTTTTGGTGATTTCAAATGTCAACATTGGCTACCAGAAATCGCTTACCCCACCTTTAACTTTAACCTCGATTCTATACAGGGTATAATTAATTGATAGAAGATTTCCACTGGTGAACTTTACACCAGCATAGACGCACACACAAACACACATGCAGGTAAATGATGTATTACAGGTAACTACTGTATATCATACACACACATATAACATATCTCACTGATTGTATGGACCCTGTTTTAAGTCCTCTAATGTTTCAATCCATATCTTTACATTGTCCAAAGACTTTTAATAATCTAAAATGTGCAAAACAACAATATGGCAAGTAAACAACAGAATTCTGCATAAAAGATCAAACATTATAAGGGATTTAAATAAATTAATTTAGTACAGGCTTGGGTTTCAAGTACATTTAACAGAAAGAGGGTAAACTCATCATGCAGCTGTTGCTCACAACAATTTTCCCTCAGCTAAGACAAATCTGCTCAGCGCACTACACTTTGGTACACAAAAATGTATAATCAGACTCCTACGTCACCAAAGCTGACCGTTTAGTGTTCACTAGAGGTTCACTGTTGTTATTAATATTTAAAACGTTCTTTTAAGGCAGAAGCTTGAAGCGACTCTCGCAACGGCAACGCACAAGTGGCTGCATAGGACCCACTCAACATGTGAATGGTCACAGTGCCCTCTGGTGGGGACACGCAAACCGGTCTGTATAACAGAATCGAACCGAAAGAGACACATGGGGATGAAGAGGATAGATTGTCACACATGTAGCCTACAAATGGTTGCAGTCAGGCACACAGGCATTAAGCACCATTCAGACTTATCAAGAGTCTGACACTGATGACGCACACTGGAGCCCTAACAAATAAAAATCACAGAAAGGGATTTGGTTCTATTGTATTAGCCTAAATATTTGTGAAGATTGGATTCTCATTTTGTTATTTTATGCAGAACCGGGATTAAATGCTTCATAAATCCTTTTATCCATCTCCATCAATTCTATTTTATTTACTTTAGCTGATCTGGGAGCAGGAATTATTAGGTTTGAACAGGAGGGAGTTTCAGTTGGCACAAAACGTTAAATTGTCAACTTCCTAGAATCATGCAAGCTAGTATTTTGCTACATGATTCTGTTCCGGAGCAAATGTTTTGATTTAAGTTAGAGAGAAAAGAGACATAGTGAGTGGTCTGAAAAACCATGAAATATTTGTTTCCTTGAAATGAAAGCTAATTAGAAACCATAATGAAACCGTGGACAAACAAACAGTTCTGAGAAGGATGGAGGCATAATGTTTTTACAATGATGAGAATGAATGATCTTTAACATGCGTCCAACTTCTGTGGTGTAAATCTTGAGGTGTACATGTCCTTGACTGATGTCATGTTGTGTACACACATTTTGTTTTTAATTCAGGTTCATCAAAGTGCGATTTATCCAGGCAGGAAATATCAATATGAGTTCTGGAGCCACAATGCATCCCGAAAAGCTCTCGTACACCAGATAAAAAGCAACCTCTATTAGATTTTACCCTTGACCTGCTGCTCCACATCCGAGCCATCTGCTTCAATGTCAGAGTCTGAGAGCGAGCGTGCGGAGTGGTCTGAGTCTTGTGAGTGTGTATGACTGTGTGACGGAAGGCTTAGATCACTTTCCTCTAAAGTGTCTGTCCTGGAAAAGAGACCAAGGTCCAGCATGCAGGTAGGTGTCCCGCTGCTAGCGTCATTGTCGCTGTCGTAACAGAAGTCCTCTAAGTCCACAAACCACTCGGGCCAGAACTTCCTCCGTATGCGCTCACAGTACATGGCGAGGTTGATCAGTTCTCCTGTGCGCAGACAGAAATAGTTATTCATTGTGCAGCTTGAAACCTGTCAAACATGGTCTGCTGAATGGCTGGTTTTTGTCATTGTGTCTCCACTCAGAATAAATGTAAAATTTAGAATACAGCAACATATTTCTGTAGAGTATAATAATGCCCAACCACTTTTCTCAAGTGTTTTTCCCATTCATTTTACCCATATGGATTTTCATTAAAGTGTCATAAGCAATGAACCAAACTAACCAGCTACAAGGCTAATTAGAAACTTTGATTTGAAAAAAAAAATTATAATAATTGAAACCTCACAAAGAGTACAAGACTGTGTACTGGATGGATTTAACATTTTAAATTTATTGCAAAATATGCATATATTTACAAATATTTAAAAATTCTGAAAGAAAGACTGACTCTATTACATTATTCAAAGTGCTTTGTGGGAGTGAGTGGTTGCTATGCTCTCTTGTGATGCATTTGGTAGAGAATCATGGGTAATGTAGTTTTCAGTAAAAATCAGTTATCGTTAAAAATTAATTGCCCAGTGCAGTGTTTCTCAACCCTGGTCCTGAGCGCCCCCCAACACTGCACATTTTGTATGTCTCCCTTATCTGACACCCATTTCAGGTCCTGGAGTTTCTTTTAATGAGCTAATGAGTTGAATCAGGTGTGTTTGATTAGGGAGACACACAAAATGTGCAGTGCTGGGGGGCGCCCAGGACCAGGGTTGAGAAACACTGGCCCAGTGGATAAAATGAATGTAATTTAATTTACTTTCGGAACTGGACTCGTGCTCTCTATTCTGCTGAGGTGGTTTGACATTCTATGTATGACTGAACTTTAATGTGCAGAAGCATAAATAAATGCCCATAATGCCATCTAGTGGACATTTAACAAACTGCCATGCCAGGGCACAAAATTAAAAAAAATAGTTAATCCAAAATGAAACTTTGGGTAACTTTCAAACCTGTTTAATTTTCATTCTTCTAGGAACACAGAAGGAGATGTTAGGCAGAATGTTCAAACTGCGCTTTTTTGAATTTTGATGTGTGCTGTCAGGCTCCAAAAATGCTACCCTAAAGTATCATAAAAGAAATCCATATGACTTGTGCACTATATACCAAGTCTTCTAAAACTATATGATATTTTTGTGACCTAATTTAAGTCATTATTCAGTGAAAATAACTTTTTTGTTCTTATTTAAGTACCGGTCCACCAGTATTGCACAGAATAGCACCTTTTGTGTTTCATGGAAGAAATAAAGTCATACAGCTTCAGAACAAAAATTTTTTGGGGGAACTATCCCTTTATATACAACAACATCTAAAATGAAGACATGCATGAATCTCTCTCTTGTTCTACAAATATTTCCAATTATTTTAATGGCCCTATTAGGACTACAAAACTGCAGTTGTGAGGTCTTGCTCACCTTTAATGAGCTGCTCGGGCCGTGTGCCAGGCAGCGTCCACATGGCTTGTGCAAGGTGACCGAACACCGTGGCATCCACACTGGACAGCTTGGGACCCATGATGTACTTCTTATCCCCTGGGGGTGCAGAAGATAAATATTAACCCCTGGCCAAAATTTAAGACAAATAACAGACTTCTTTAAAATTGTTTCAGAAACACACTGAAAATACAAGAAAATATTTCGATTTTCAGTTTATTCAATTACCAAATGGAAAACATGAAAAAAGTTACCCCCCAATATGGTAACAATTAAGTAAAACATTACTTGCACTAAGCCACCAAAAGTGAATATCTTAGGAACAAAATCATCACAGTGTGTGTTCATGTTTTGTGAAAGATTAACTGAAAAAAAAGCCTTAAGCTTTTTATAAAAATAATTCAAATTGCAGTTTTATGGCCCAGAAGAAACACAATTAAACTACTGATCACATGTTTGCAGACAGTAAGATCTGCATTTATTTGATCAAAAACACAGTAAAACAGTAATATTGTAAAATATAATTACAATTTAAAATAACTGTTCCTTTCAAATATATTTTAAATTGTAATTTATTTATGTGATGGCAAAGCTGAATCTTCAGCAGACATTACTCCAGTCTTCAGTGTCACATGATCCTTGAGAGATCATTCTAATATGCTGATTGTGTGCTCAAGAATCTTTTTCACTATTATAAAAATGTTTCAGATTCTTTCATTAATACAAATGATCTGAAATGGATAGAAATTTGACAAGTGACAATGGCATTTTTTAACAGTGTAGTCTTTACTGTTACTTTTGATAAATTTAATGCATACTTGCTGAGTAAAAGTATTTTATTCAGTATAGCATGTTATTATAATTTTTTTAATAACATAAAACCAAAACTTTTTAACAAGTGTCTATATGGCAGACTTCAGTTATCATGATACACACATAACATAAATATGATATAATATACAACTTTATTATAAAAAAAATATTTGGTAACACTTTAGCATAGGGACCAATTCTCACTATTAACTAGTTGCTTATTATTAGCATGCCTATTATTAACATATTGGCTATTTATTAGTACATATAAAGCACATATTCAGCATGACTATATTCTATATCCCTAACCCTACCCAATGCTTCAACTTAACAGCTACCTTAGTAATTATTAATAAGCAGCAAATTAGGCGTTTACTGAGGCAAAAGTTGTAGTTAATGGTTTGTTAATACAGAGAATTGGACCTTAAAATAAAGTGTAACCAAATATTTAATAAAATAAATCATTGTATCACATCACAAAAACATGCTCCTGACAAAGTATCATTTTAACCCTCTATTTCTTGTCCTGCTCACCTAGCAGTGTGGCCAGTGTGCACATGTCCTTCTCCATGAGGGTGTAAACTTCCTCCTTAGTGAAGCAGCCAATGCCGTGACAGTACATCTCTCGCTTTACAATGCCACCAGTCAGCTGACACAGGATCCATTTCAGCAGGTCACTGAGGGGCCCGGGAAGGTCCAGCATCTTTTGAGTCTCTTGAACATTATCCACCCACTGACAGTAAGCAATGGTCCTGTGGTGACAGAGATCAGTGGAGAAAGAGATGAATAAATTAAAGGTAATGATTCCTTTCCTAAAGTACAAATGTATCTATATATATATTTTCATGTATAAAGAGCCATTTATATTGTGTGGGAAAAATACAAACGTCATATTATGAAGACAACACATTAATAATAATATTAATTATATTTTATTATTAATTGGCTTTTATATTGCCATTTTTCTTAAATAAGCAATGTTGCAAGGAGAGATGAGAGGAACAATTCACAAACTGCAGATGCGCAATTTTATTGATTCCCAAACTGAAGTCTTTAGAAAGCAGATGTATTAGGTGCATTACAACATGCATAAAAAATATTAGAACTTTGCTATACTGCATATTTAACTTGCATAATACATTTATTTTGCAGCTGCTTTTATTCAAAACTACTTACAAATGAGGAAATCTTCAACAAATTATAGATCATAAGCACAAGCAATTCATCATAAAATGGGCTTGTTTATATTTCAGAGTTTATTATAATTGTGTGCAGCTTTAGTATCACACAGAAAACAAACTCAGTTTGGTCTTTGAGATTAAACTTTGAATTAATTCTCTGCTCTGTGATTATCTGAATCAAATTAATTAAAGCCATCTTCTAATTACCTTCTTTGCACAGTAGGCAATGTATTAATAAAAACCATTCATCCAAAATGGCTTCAAGCGCTCTTTGGGTTCATGGCTTTGAACTCACCACTTGGAATTTACAATCAGCCTTTCATCAGGTTTAAATCAGATTCAAAGCAGCAGTGTGTAAATTCTGCACCAAAAATAACTACTAAATTGCATTGACCAACATGGTATTTAAATGTATAATATATGACATAAGACATAATATATGGATTCCATGAAACAGTATTGTACGCTACATGCTTTGTTTACATTTCTGAGTCTTAATCTGATATTACTAGGTCTTTTTACTGAAATGGATCAAGTACGTTACAGGAGGTTCATTTCCTGATCTAAACCCACAGATTTCCCAGCATGACATCCATCACTCTTATTTATGGCGCAATAAATGTTCTTGCTCAGCAAGCTCTTCAGCTGACATACACAACACTACTCTGGAGTGGACACAGATATTCAAACTCATGAATTATTCAATCAATAGCCATGATGTGGGATTCTATATATAGCACAGTGTAAAGCACTTCTAGGCAGTGTGAAGAGAGAATGCACAAGAAAAAGAAACAAACAAACAAAAAAATTGATTTCATTTGAAGGAATATAATAATGCAAAAGAAACGAAGAGGAGATTAGGCTGTAAGAAAAGAGACTGGCTATACAATAGTTTTTTTTCCTGAGTATAATGCTTACACTATGATACCAAATGTGTAGGATAATGTTTCAGCACGAATCATTAATTTGATAAATCTGCTGCCTGCACTGCAAATCATGTCAGCAGTCCACTGCAAGCTTATTACGCATATTTTAGTGGTTTATGGTTACGGACTCATACAACTTTTCATTCATTTTTATTATGCAAATACATTGGTTGTCTGGCTATTTGTCAAGTACAGTTATAATCTAAAAGAATAATCTGGAATAAAACAGTTTAAATATTTTCCACAAAAAGATAGATTCACTTAAGTATTATAAAAATTATGATTATGATGATTATTATTATTAACTGAGTTCTAGTAAAAAGGAGTCATGTGTTTTTACAGCTTTTGTACTGCTGGACAGGACGTAATAGCATACGTCTAAAATTCAGATGAATGAATCATTACTATTGAATAGAAAACATGAAAAACTAATAATTTGGGAATTAAAAAATATAATTTAATGATTTTTAAATATGTATTTTTTTAATGAAATAGATTCATCAACCTAAATGATCAATCTTGATTTATAGTTTTGGGTAATTATTTTTGTATGTTTAGACCTTTGCTTAAAGAACTTTCTTAAAGAAACTGTTGAAACCCAAAAATGTTGTTGAAAATGTATTTACAATCAGGCATTCCAAGACGAGTAGATGAGTTGCTTTCTTCACTGAAACAGATTTGGTGAAGTTTAACATTACATCATTTGCTCATCAATGGATTCTCTGCAGTGAGTGGATGCCATTAGTTCAGACAGTTGAAAAGCTCTGTAAGAAACAAATCTATTATTAAGGAATTTTAAATTAAAACTATCACTTCTGTCCAAAATACGAGTCCATAATCCATAATAACGCTTCCTCTGCAGTGAAAAAGTCCAAACCCTGTTGTCCTCTCACATCAAAATTCACCGACATATTTGTTTAGAACTGTTTTGGCTTATAAACCATGCTTGGTCTGTGCGTATTTCTCACCCGATTCAAATGAGACAACTTTTCACTGGAGAAAGCAACATTAGAAATCAATACAGAAGCAATGGTTTGAAGTTAAAATTACTTAATGATGAATCTGTTTCTTACACACATGCAACGTTTCACTTCACAAGACAAAAATTGATTAACAATATTTGTTTGGATTACTTGTGGATTATTGTGATGCTTTTATCCTTTGTTTGAACTCTTATCCTGATGGCACCCATTCACTGCAGCTTTTACAATTACGTTCTGATAAAAAAAAAACTCATCTACATCTGGGGATGGCCTGAGGGTGAGTACATTTTTAGCAAATTTTCATTTTGGGGTGAACTATTCCTTTAAGGCTTTAAAAATTAAAAACTCCCCAGCCAAATAAACAAACTGCAGAACTCTACTGACTCTAGTCAATAATCCGTAGGTGCATATTTGATCCTCACATTTCAGAGACAGCTCAGCTGCAGAAGAGTGACTCATTCTGAATGGCAGCACATGACTCACCAGTACAAGTGTTCCTCCACCATGGTGGTGATGGCCCGCGCTACCGCCTGCTCCTGAGCGCTCAGACTCTTGTTTAGGCTCACACCAAGTTTCTCCTCCAGAAAGTCAATTATAAATTCAGTCCCGCACACCTGCTCGTAATTATACTCGATCCAAGGCATCTTGCCTTGGGATGAGAGGCTTCCATCAAAGTAATTCTGCAAAAAAGGAAGCATATTGAGGGTGAAAAGATGCAAACCATAAACATTTATAATAATAATAATAATAATAAGTATTATTATTATTAATATAAAAAAACACTACTGCTTATTTTGGAGCATCTGGATGTGAACTGAAAAAAAACCATAATCCTATTTTCTAAGGGCTTTCATGAATTTCATTGACATTTCAACAGCAGATGGTGTGACTTCCAATAACTGCATGTAACCACACTGATCAAAGGAAATGGACTCCAAAATCCAAACTGCTCCTTTATGCATACTTGATAGGGCAGATCAACCATGCGCAGATAGGTCTCCATTTTCAGGCAGAAAGGTGAAAGGCTTGGCACCCCGTTTTTTGGCCTGGAGAACTGGTGAAGGATGATGGCGTCTTTAGAATCCAACTGTTGTTCTTTCCTGTAAGGAGGAGATCAACCATAGATTGTAAAACCAGACAATCTACTTAAGATTTCAATATGAACAGATGAATAAAAGGTCACTCAAAATACTAATGGTTAAATATCACAGTCAGACATATGGAACAAAACTTTGTATTTGTATTTAGTTGGCATGCATTTAGATCAAAAACTGGTATGCATTTTATCAGCATATTTGTTCTTTAGGAGAATCCATCACCCTGGCATTAAAATGCATCATGCTTTACCAGTTGAAGTACAGGAAGAAAATGGTTTTATAGGAACATTATTTAGCTTTAAAAGCAGCTATTTAGCCCCCAAAACCAAGTGGAGTGCATCGGAAAAGGTCTTATACTATAATTATGAGGAAACAGCAGGATGTGTGTGGGAGGACATAGACAGGTCTTATTTCACAAGCAGAAACTACAAGTCCAAGCCTGAGCTTTCAAAACAACACAGCTTAGTCCTATTCTGATCACATACAAGTTCAAAAATTAATTCTTCTAACTCAACACATATTCTAAAAATGTGATTTGTATAACCAAACTATCCCTATCATGTGGGCTGTTGAATATTACTCTGAATCAGGGTATTTTGTCGGGGAAGGGAAAAAAATTATTTAGATTTGCTAAAATCCCTTCAATATTGATCAGAAAGATTAGCACAGATTCTGAGGTGCAACGGGACAAATCCGTCCACATTTAGCCATCTTTAATAAAAAGCAATCATGATTTCTACACTCAAAGCACCAATAACAAATACAGATATCCAAATAATAACAGTGTTTACTAGTAAAGTGTTTAGGAGACCCTGTCAGGGCAAGGTTAATATGATACACAACAATAGAAATTTCGGTAACACTTAACTTAAAGCCTTTATGTACAGGTGATTCTCAATAAATTAGAATGTCGTGGAAAAGTTCATTTATTTCAGTAATTCAACTCAAATTGTGAAACTCGTGTATTAAATAAATTCAATGCACACAGACTGAAGTAGTTTAAGTCTAGTACATTATAAAAGTATTCAAAATGTATGTCATATTGCATTATATCTTTTTAAAATGCATTATAATATTTGAAGATTCCTTTTTATATCTGAAATTGGTTGTTTAGCATATTTTAATGCATTATAATACTTTCTAAAATATTAGAAAATATAACATTTTAGAAAATAAAATATATATATATATATATATTAGAAAAATACATACATCTAAAATATGTTTAGAAAGTATAATACATCAAAACACATGAGAAACAGCCAATTTCAGATGTAATAAGGTATCTGCAAATATATTTTAATGCATTTTAACTTTGAATGTTATGAAAACATATAATGCATTACAACATAAATTATGAATACCTTTATAGCGCATTAAACAAGTGTTACAGAAATTTTCCTTTGCATAATGATTACATAACACAAGTTCAGAATATTACACCTGTGGCTTTGTAATTAACCATGATGGTAAAGTTAAGATACTCATGACAAAATTAAGATCACAAAAAGTTTCCATGTATGTATTTATTTGTTTGTTATGTAATTTTTAGAGTTAACAGACTGTCAAAGTTTATTATCCAGGCCAAAACAACAAACTCTGGAACTATTTTCCCAATTAATATAAAAAGGCCATTCAGATCTATAAGGATGCCACTCACCCTCTCATATAGGCATTTAAGATGCTTCCATGTGTCTCTCAAATGAACATTCTGATGCCCTAACGATGTCTATTTCTGTCTTTTGACGTCAAAATCAAATACTAATCTATATTCTATGGCAAACTGAATAAAGTGTAAAGCATCAGTACGATCCGAATGCTGCAGAGCTCAAGCCTCAAACATGACGCTGTCCACTGCCTGCGGTGCTGAAACCCTCCAGTCAAGTATTGTATCCACGTCTGTTTCCACATTAAAACAGGCTACAGCTAAAAACAGCATTACAGGCCCCCCTTGAATTTTTATTAGGTAATGGCCTGCGGATGAGCCAAGAAAGGTCGCTTCACAACACAACTCAAGGACATCGTGATCCAGCGAAGTAAACAGTCAAGATCACGTGCCGCATAATGACGCTTTATTTACACTAAAAAAAAGAAAACGAATTTATCAAGATACTTTTGTTCAGTGCGAATGTAAACAAGGGCAATTCCGGCTGGGTATTGATGACAGGGCGTTTTCATATGCTCCCGTGCGGTCAAACACCGAAAACGTGACTTGATGCAGCCCAGCGAGCTCAAGGAAAACACGAGAACCTCACTGGCACTGGCATTGCCAGCGGACTAATATTTACATCTTTCCCCGGAGAGGTTCAAATGTGTATAATGCATGTATTATGAAATATTGTAAACAATAACAGTAAGTCATTTCATATATCATTTGACATCACAGCACTGACCTGATGGAGAGCAGCTCGTGCAGCAGATACGCAGTCGCAGCCAGCAGGGCACCTCCGCTGATATAAAGCGTCTTCCTCCACCAGGAATCCGATACCAATCCCGACATGATCCCGTCGAAATCCTGCACAGGGTCGGCTACTATGTACCCATAAAATAAGTGACGCTCATCAGAGCCACACAACCCGAGGGACGGGCTCTGATTCCGGCCAAAATCAACCACGAACGAGCGGGAGGAGGCAAAACCAGCGACCCAGTACATTCTCTCTCTCCCCCCGCTTCCTCCAACGAATCCTGCGCCACTTCATTTAGCCATATACATACGGACAAATGTTACATGGTTATGTTATGTCGGTCTCGTAAAGCAAAAGAAAAGCATTTTAACGGGATTCGGCTCCCGCGCGCAGCTCCGCATCCTGCTTTGTTGCTGTGCTGGAGCTGAGTGACGTCACGACGCATCACACAAGGAAGCTAGGCAAATAAAACACATTCAGGTTTTATTTAAACTAAAGACGCAGACCTAAACATAATTTGAAGGACATCATGGTTTGCAGTGATTAATACCGTCCATTTCGTTTTTCTTCATTGGTGTATATCACGATAAAATACTGACAGATATATATTAGTGCAGTGTAATATATGGTCTCTCTCTCTCTCTCTCTATATATATATATACATATGAAGAGTACAGATGCAAAAGCCTCAAAGTGCCGCCTGAAATCTCTAAAATGAGCATTTTTCTCAGGCTCCTATGTTTGTGTTCAGTTATTTCATTTTAAAAACCTATTCATTGTCATTTAATGTGGAATTACTCAACTAGGAGCCTGAGAAAAATGCTCACTTTAGAAGAAAATTTCAAACGGCATTTAGAGGCTTTTGCATCTGAACTAATGCAATTATAAAATGTATGTATATGTGTGTGTACATACTGTATACAGTGTATGTTGCTGAATTATTTCCATTATTTTACCCATAAATTACATTATGCATGTTTATAGAATTGTTCAGGCTGAATAAAACTCCCTCTCATTGATTTCATTTTATTAAGTACCTACACTTTTTAAGTGCCAAGTCACAAATCATTATATAATTCTCTTTGTCTGTTTGGCCTCTGACATGAACCAACCAAAGATCACCACCACAATACACACAGCTAAATGGTTATTAAAATATATCAAAGAATCTTTCAAATGACATGTGGCATGCGACTGTGGCATGTTGAGTGGATCAAAAGTGCTTCAATCTCAAATTCTCATCTTAACAAGAGCTTTACAAAACATGTTCTATGAATCATGCCTCTGATAAAACAATTTTTTATCAAGGAACACAATGCAAAGAATGATGATTACTGGTTCAGCAATTCTTCACTATGCAACATATTTTGACATCTTGAGTGTGGGTTATTTCTCCATTTTCGAGCAGGTGAAGTCTGTTTGATAGCATTTGCACATTATAATAGCTCAGCTGTAACTTCTGGCTCGACCTGGTTCATCCAGATTCTCACTCTCAGCCCAGACCCGGTCAGGCTGGGGTTCTTCTTTGCGTTTGATTGCATGCAACGCATAGTTGATGGCCGTGCTCTGCTGCCAGCTCCACGCTCCTGTGAGAGGATTGTATATCATGCCTCTGATAGCCTCCACGTAGAAACCGACTGGGATACAGTGAGACAGAAAGATGGTAAAAGCAAGTAACAAATTTTGCTGTACAATAAACACTGTAGCAATGGAAAAATAGATCATATTGAACCATTAAGTAATATACAGTATACCAGGCTTTTCCAACAGTAGCTGTTATTTAAACAGCAAAGGAGATCTGTGATCGAAAAGTGGAGGGGTAATACTCAGAAACTGATCAATGAATGATTGTGAGAGAGAAATGGAAGACAGAGGCAACACTCACAAGACTCCAGAAGTCGTTCCAAATCCTCTGGGCTGATGAACTTCCCCCAGTCATGAGTTCCACTCGGAACAATCCTTAACAGCTGCTCCGCTGCCACAATCCCAAAAACGTAGGACAAGTTGGTTTTGTTAAGAGTGGTGATGAAAAGAGAGCCACCAGGCTGAAAAAAAACAAAACATAATACATTACATACATAAAAATATTGCAAATATTAATTGGTATACATTAATACTTTAATGTTTTATTTTAACATTTTATAGTTTAATAGAATTTTATTTACACTATAATAGGGATATGACCAATTTTGTGTAAAAAGATCCTTTAAGTGTTCCCTCCTTGAATTAAATACATTTTATTATATTAAAAATAAAATATCAAGATCTTAAAAATGCATATAATAAATATCAGTATTTAATATATTATATATTTTTTTCTTATTGTGAGATACATTTTAATATAATTTGATATGTATTGATATATTTTATTTTATATTTAAATTATTCAGTGATTTTTTATCAATTCTAAATAACAAACCATCTAAAATGAAACTGAAAAGAAAAGAAAGCAAAACAGAAACTGACTGATGAAAGTGCCTGGATGTCACAGTATTAGGAAAGATTATGGGGATTTGGAGTAACTCTTCTCGTCCTCTGACACACTGACACAGGAGATTAAATCAGTCCATTCAGTTCTCTTTGCTGGGAATCTTTTTGTGCTACCGTCATTGTTTCAGATGTCAATGATGTTGTGCCACACCTTCAACACCTGCTGGCAACAGCTGGCAAAGGTGTCCAGGTCTGCCAGATGTTCCACCACCTCAGATGCCACTACAGCATGAAATCCCTCTACTTCCTCTTCAGCGAGTTCCTCCAGGGTGCAGGCCTGATAGCCAACTCTCTCTCGTAAATCAGGATCATAGGAGGAGTGCAGCTCTGCGGTCCTCACACTGTCCTCCACTGGGTCGATTCCCAGGACGTCTGCTCCTAACCTTCCTAGTGGCTGAGAAAGGTTAGTGCTACTTTGTTTTTTGATACCCATGTTTGACAGCATCCACAGCAGTGTTAGTTATTGTTAACTTGAACTAAAATGGCTACATATTATTTTTAGTAATTGAAATAAAACTGACAAAAATAAAATATTAATATTAGCTGGAAAACTAGAAATGTTGCCTAGGCCAATGTACTGAAGTACATTTCATTTAAAGTACTGAAATGACTAAAATAAACTAATAATAATAATAATGACAAAAGCAGATAAATTACTTAAACCAAAACTAACATTAAAATGAAAGCTGAAAATTAAAATTAAGCCAATATGGAATTAATCTCTAAAATCATTATATATATATGGGTCATTCTACAGAAACGTCCACTTTTGGTATGGCAAGGTGTCTTAAAATGTATTTCTTTTTTAACATTTAAACTTAGACCACATTATTAGATTGCCTTTTGACTTTATGAATACACATAAATGACAGCTTAATGATTTTTTATATTTTTTGTATATTTATTTAAAGATCGCATGTACCCTTTTTTTGTCACTGGTGTTACCTTACTTCTTTGGCAATTTTAAAGGTTTTTATGAAATATTATTTCTCTTTTTTTTCAGCACATGTAGTCAGAGTTACATAAAAATAATGATAATGCAACAAATAAGGAGATTATGTTTTATTTATTTTAATCAGGTTTGTTAAAAGTGTGACTGAATGATGTTAGTTCATTTGCACAAACATGTATTTGCTATAACAATGATATATATATATATATATATATATATACACACACACATACATACATTTTTTTGGGATTTGTATTAGATTTGTATGGTAAACATATTTTAATGGAAAAGAAAATTGGATGTAAAACTTCTTTAGGTGTAAAAAGTAGCACAAAAAAACAACAACAACAACAACAACAACACTGCACATCGCCCTCTGCTGGTTATTCAGAGCAGAAATTTAGAAATAGGGCTGCAGTAACCAGTCAATTGTCTGTACCACTGATGTGCCCTAAAGGGGATCTTCCGACAGAAGCTTTTGCATGACAGGACACTCAAGAGACATCATGCTCACCAAAACAAAACAATGACACATCAGGCAAAGAGACAGCCTGGAGAAAGTGTGTTTATCTCAGTGGAGGAAATCACTGGGCGTGAAGCTGTCTGTTTTAATCGTGTAGTTCAGTTGGTAGGTTTTCAGTTATCATTTGTGGCCAGCTAAAAATAATCATGCATGTTATAAACCTAACAAACATGAGACCAGCTTTATACTGCTACCACACCCAGACCAGATCTCAAATAACAAAACAGCATACAGTAAACTGAAAAACTACTTGGACTAACTAATGCAACTAGCTCAATACTTATCTGTAGTCATTTTCATAATTAACACTAGTTACCTCACTCAGCACACCTCCACCACAGCCGACATCCAGGATTCTGAGTCCAGCTCGAGGTTTGCCCAACTGCCGCACGCCGTGCACATTCAACAAATTATCCCTGAAAATAGGGTCAAAGGTCACAAAATGAGGTTAAGAAGGAATTAGGCTAGAAAGCATGTCACCTCTGGTCATGCAGAATTTTGAAACCATGTGCACCAGACTGACGTGAAACAGAAAATCCAAAGCTAATCACAGAATAAAATTTCACAATGTGCTTCCTGACTGTGTCACAAACACGTCTTACTGCTAGTCCCTCTGGCTAGACACATGCCTCTGACATCCTGAAGCAATCGTACATCCTCACTGCTCGTCTCACTGGACCTAAGGGCAACATCCTCACGATCTTCCCCAAAAGCCTGGACAGACCAAGCAGACCAAAGCAGCCCGAGGTGCTCACTGCCAATCCTGTTAACTCAGCCCATCTTTGCCAACAAACCCCAACGTCTTTGAAGGAATTCCCTGCCTGATCTCTAGAAAACACACATTCCTCAAGTACAACATAATAACCAGCAACAGCACAGAGGTCCCTCATTTAAACAAGCCCCCGGGGCACCGCCATATACGCTGTACACTACAACTGATCCCGTGTTCATGGAAGGGGAAGAAATTGTGCACTGGATGATTCCAGAAGGCGAGGGGAAAGGCTTACAATGACAATCGCAATATCCATCCTGACCTTTTTGGAAACAGCTGCCAAGAGAAGAATCACAGCCATGCTGCATAAACTCTAGCTGCTGTCCTCACCCTTTCACCCTAATTGCCATTACCTGGACATGGGACAGATGAGTCTGTTTTCTATCTCTGACATGCCAGTTCTATTGATAGAACAGCCTGAGTTGGTTTAACAGAAATTATTCAGATAAGATTATTATCATTAAGACGTTTTTTCTAAAGAAATTAATACTTGTATTCAAGGAAGGATGCATTAAATTGATCAAAAGTCTGTTTCACATAAATGCTGTTCTTTTGAACTTTCTATTCATCAAGAAATCCTGGGGAGAAATATGGATCAAAATTCAGCTTTGCAATCACAGGAATAAGTTACACTAATATGGAAATACATAAAAATAGAAAACAATTAGTTTCAATTGTAATAATATTTCCAAATTGTATTTTAATTTCCCAATGTATTTTGAGCAATTAAATGCAGCTTTACTGAGTATAATCTCTCAAAAGACATTTTACAAATATTACCAACCCCAAACATTACGTTTAAGTTGTAGGTGTGACATGCCATACTCCATATAACACTACTCTAAGCTAGGGATGAACCAATATAAAAAATCTAGCCAGAACAATTATTACATCAAAGACAAAATTATGGAAGCCCTTTTCTGCCACTGAATAAAAAACAAAAAAGGTCATTACAACTTTTTTACTTTTTTTTCTGAATTGTGAGATATAAACTCACAATTGCCAGTTATAAAGTCAGAATTGCAAGATATGAACTTGCAGTTCTAACTTTGCTCACAGAATTGCGTGATATAAACTCGCAGTTGTGAGTTATAAAGTCAGTATTGTGTTTAAATCTGCGAGTTTAAATCTCACAATTTTGTGGGGGGAGAAATTGCGAGACATCAGAATTGAGTTGCAATTCTGAAAAAAAAAAAATTAGTCAGAATTGTGAGACAAAAAGGTCGCAATTACCTTTTTTTTCTTTATTCAGTGGTAGAAACGGGCTTCCATACAAATAGCTGAGTTGTGCTGTGTTTTCCAAACACAAAACTTTTGAGATTAAGTTATTACATTTTTACAGAATGAGCATTAGAAGACAGAAAATGCCAGCTAAATGTCAAAATAAAAGGTAATGAAAATACACAGTTAAATTTGTAATATCAACCAATATCAACAAATCAAATATTGGCCGAAAACTGATATTGCGCATCCCTAATTAAAACAGTGTTTTGTTCATTCATAAATTAAGCTATTATGCATACAACATTTATGATGACATCACATTTACTAGCAGTACTTTTAGACATTAATGTGTCACATGGAAAATAAGACCATTTAAAATGATCTGATAAAAGAAATAAGGTGCAGAAAAACGGAGATCAGATCTTAGCTTAAAAATCTATATGAATGTACAAGTGTACATTTATATGAATGCATACATTAATAAAAATAACCTAAAACATTACTGATGTTAAAAAAAATACTATAGTGATACCACGGCACTTTTATCAGTAGATGTACACACCGTATGAAAGGCACTCTCAGGTCATTCATGGAGTGCAGGACTGCAAACTCTCCCTGTAAGTCCCACCACTTGCTCGCCTTGGCCTGGAACTTACGCGCCTCGGCGGGGTCGAGAGTAGTCTGGGAAACCGGGCGGACATTTAGACGGGTCAATCTGCGGGAGAGGTCGTTATGATTCTCTGCTAAACAAAAACCCAGTAACGAGTAAACTGGACTATTAACAATAAAAACATGTAATTAATTGCATGTGTAACCCTTGATATTTCTATCCTGTTTTACTTCTTAGTCTCACTTCTTTAAAACCTGGTACTGCCCCTTTAAGAGGTTGGGTAGTTCATGCGGGGAGAGAGTGCACAGCAACTGAATGGTATTCCCGGTGAAGTGGTAGGACTGAGATATTCGTTTTATTTTTTTTCCACACATTACACGGGACTGAGATATTTTTTTTACACACACTACATGGGACTGAGACAGTTTATTTCCAAACTTGGATTTTCAAAATCAATTTCCTTGGGTTACAATTGCATTGTTGTTATCTGTTATCAAGCTCAATTAATTGTTGGAGATTGAGTGTCATTCAATGTTAATCACTTTGGTTTTAAAGTGCCAGAACAAAGAGCATTTAAATTGATTGCCTCACAAAATACATTTCTGGCTAACTTAAATTCTTGTGTGGCATTATTTTATTTTACATTTTCATGATATTTCAGTTGTTCATTTAAATTGACAATTTGGTTTAAAAGGAAAAATACCCCAAAGCTCCTTGAACGAACTTAGACGATTGATATTTTCAATTAGATCACAAATCCCAGGGATAAAGGGGGTTACACATGCACTCTTGTTAGGTTGATAAATCAGTCTCACCCGTTTGACAGCTGATTCTTCTGTCTGTGATGCAGACACACCGTCCAACTGCACAGAGACCGCACTGCTGTCACTCTGGAGGACACGTTTCGGGTTAACGGGCATTTAAACGCAGATTCCACCAACGGCCCAAAAGCTAATCGTGCTAATTTCTTGGAATACATAATTGCATTTTACTGCGTCACATTTATCTTAAATTATCACTGACTTCGGTCAGTAAATCCAATGTGACCGTGGCGTGTTTGCAGAACTTCTGACCGAGCAGAAACTCAGCATGAAATCAAACGTTCCTATCCTGTATAACAGTATGACAAATATATTGCCTTTTTTCAACTGATTAACTTTTAAAACGATTAATAAGCTGAAAAGGGGAATACGTTTTAAATTAAATCAGAAATCTGCGACAACATACACACACTGTGCTTGACTTCCAAACCATTCCGTTCTCTACGCACTTCTCAAATTATTTTTTTTTTTATAAATGTGGCTCATACGAGTCTTAAAGTTGAGTTCATTTAATAAATAAAATTGTAAAATTATACTTACACTCACGTCATTTCAAACCTATATGCCTTTATTTCTGCTGTGAATAATTCAGTTCATAAAACTAGTCTGAAAAATGTATTCACAAATCAGACTGATAGGGGTTAACAACTCATACTGTACTATCAGCGAATAATTTAATGTGAAAGGTACCGCATAGTTTCAGTATAGTAACAATAAAATATAGTATAGTTATATAATGCAAGATATGTCTTTATGGTGCTCTTTTGGTCATTGTGGAGTTTGACATCCATGTCCCCATTCACTTTCATTATATTGAAAATAGTGGATGGCTATTTCTCATGTTTCATGGACCAAGAGAGTATGTGATCAAAACTGTCATTTTTGTGTAAAGACAACTCTTAATGAGGTTTAAAAAAAAAAAAAAGCTAAATCGATTATAAATATGCCCATAACTTATTTTAGGTTTTTCCACATGTCTTCACTCAGACATTTCAAGCAGCAAGCTTTAAACACAAAATAAGAGGCAGGCCATGTCAGACAGAAAGAATCATTCTTGTTTTATTGGACAATTTACATGAAAGGAGAATTTATTTCTTCTGGTGTTAGGTTTTAAAATGTTACAGTTTCAAGGTTCTATTGACTGCTCGAACGTTTAGTCTTGCAAAATACAAGGCAAAAAAAGAAACTATCATTCAAAAACTCCTGTTTTGAAGACAACACTTAAAAATACCATATATTTACAAAATGAGGGGAGGGAGGGGATTTGGAGTGGAGAGTTCACCTACAACGTTGCCTCGATAATGAGACAAGCCTGTTAACTCGTGGAATTTTAAAAGAAGTTCACAGATTAGAGGCAGAACGCCCCTCAATGCTTGCGGCGGCTGGGAGACGTTGACCTGCAAAAGAAGCGTTGGACAGACTATTAGTGCAATCACAAGTACAGATCACATCCAGAACTTCATACACACACCTTAAAACAGCTGTTGGATCAACACTGAATGAGAAAAGGGGGAAATGACATCAATCTCTGTAGCACTTAGGAAGCACAGTCCAACCATTTGTGCACAATTTTTGTGCTATTACACATTCAACATTATGTGACTGCGAATTTAAACTTAAAAAATTCATTTAAAATCAACTTCAGGATAATCTGGATTGCAACAGCTGTGATATTATAAATACTATTGATCATTCACACACACAATTAAAAGAGTTCAATAAAAAAGTAGAAAGAAAATGGATACTACCTTGATCGTGACTTAGACTTGTGTTTGCGGCTTGCCTTCTTACCAGACTTGTGAGACCTTTCCGTTGACCTTGATCGACTACGTTTTGATTTCTTAGACTTTTTTTCTTTGCTAACCTCAGGGGAAGGGGACCTGCTCCTGCTGGACTCTGAATCAGAGTACTTCTTGCTAGCTTTGGCGGAGCCTTTTTTGCTAGATTTACTGTCTTGCCGGGAAAACCTCTCACTGTGAGAGTCGCTCTCCTTTTTCCGCCTCGATTTGGCATCGTCTTCCTCGTCCCTTACTGAACTGCCCTCACCCTCTTTCTCCTTACCCTTCTGTTTGTCTTTCCTTTTATCTAAATCTTTCTCTTTCTTCTTCTTATCCTTTTCGTGGCTCCGGCTCCTCTCTTTCCTCCTGTCTCTCTCCCTGTCCTTGCTGGAGGCCTTCTGTTTCCTCCTGCTGCGGCTCGTACTGCGACTTCGGCTGCGCCTGCGGTCCCTGCTGCGCCGCCTCTCTTTGCTGCGGCTATGACTGGCCTTGGACCTGCTCCTGCGGCCCCTGCTGGACCTGCGCTGCCGTGAATGGCTGCGCTTCCTGTGACGAGAGGAACGTTCGGTGCTGCGTGCACGGCTGCTCCGTCTTCTGTCTCTGGTCTTGTCGCGCTCCGACTGACGTCTGCGAGAGCTGCGACTTCGGCTGCGCCTGCGAGTCCCACGAGAGGCGGAGCGGCTGCGACGCCTTTTCCTTCTGGGAGACGAGGAGCGGGAGGAGCTGCGAGAGGAGGCTGAGGATGAGGAGGATGAAGAGGACCGGCTGCTGGAAGAGCTGGAGGTGGAGGTGCGGCTACGTCGCTCACTTGGCGAGGGGCTGGCACTTCCTCCGTTACGCCCTGTGTGCTCTTTGCTCGCCCGCTTGACCTCACTGACCTCAGGCTCACTACGTGACCTGCGTCGCTCTAATGTGGGCTCCGCCTCCCTTTCCCTAACTTCCTGTTTGTGTTTAGACTCTGTCTGCTCCTCCTCATAACCTGCCCTCTCTCTGCTTACTCTGTCTGATGCCAAATCTTCTGAAAACACACAAAGAAAAATTACTGTACACACATTTTACAAGGTTGAATAAATGTTTGAATACATATTTCTTTTAAAACAAATAACAAAAAACACATTATAACGCTTAAAAAGTAGTATAAATAAAATATTTTTTTAAATCAAAATTGTTATAAAAAAAATTACGTTGTAGCCTAAAAATTTGTGTAAAAATTCTGTTAAATCACAAAATATTCCTCCAAAGGAACTTTTTGTAATGTCTATATGATGCTTTTCTCATTTAACACAATGACTTTTAAATTATCTTTTGATTGTAATTTCTCAGCCAAATGTTAAGTATGATTAATTTGATTAATCACCACATTATGTAATTAAACGTTAAAAAAAATAATAATAAAAAGTGTGTGTGTGTGTATACACACACTATATGGACAAAAGTATTGAGACACCCCCTTCTAATGAACATCTGTAACTACTTTAGTAATTATTTCCACGAGTACAAATCTTAATGTTTAAGCATATAATGACATTCTAGGGAATTGTGTGCTTCTAATTTTATAGCAACACTTTGGACAGGTCCCTTTTCTATTCTAACATGACAATGCATCTGTGTATAAGGCAAGGTTCAAAAAGAAATGATTGATTCAGTCAGTGTGGAAGAACTTGACTGGTCTGCATAAAGTCCTAATCCCAGCTGAACACCTCTGGTGTGATTTTAAATTCAGACCTTTAGCTAAAAACTCATCACCAAACACCAATGACTTGGTGTATTATATACAGTGGTGTGAAAAAGTTTTTGCCCCCTTCCTGTTTTTTTAATTGTTTGCATATTTGTCACACTTAAAAGATTCAGATCATCAAACAAATTTTAATATTACACAAAGATAACCCGAGTAAATACAAACTGCAGTTCTGAAATTATGATTTCATTTATTAAGGGAAAAAAGCTGTCCAAACCTACCTCCCTACGTGAAAAATTATTTGCCCCTCCTCTTAAATCATGAAAGAACTGTGATTAACCACATTATTTTAGAAAGCTGAGTTAAATTTCACTAGCC